CTGTAAAAAATTTCTTAAATTTTTGTTCATTTTTTTTATAGTTAGGATCAGAATAAATTCTTCACAGTTTTGATCACTTGCTAAACATACATAGAAATCAGCATGAGGATAGCCACTTATAAACAACTGGTGTTGTATTTGGGTGCGATATTGATGACTACTTTTCAGTGAGTATGTGTTAGTACAAGAATTTTTTTCAAAAAACTTTCAGCACTTTGAGCATATTCACATATTTTTTTCTGCCTAAATGTCCATGGGCATTTAATTTCAAGCAAACCCAACCCACAACAAATACAACTTGTTATACCATCTGGGCTTGCTGTAAGATAAGGTGTTTTGATGGATACTATTAGGCCGGTTTGATAACATGTAAAGTTTTTATGAGTTTTTTTTCATTTCCCTGATATATCTTTTTCGAGCATAGGATTCAAACATGTTACCCCATTGAATTGATTTACTTTTAGCATTATTTTTGTAACATAAAATTTGAGCACATAAATCAAATGCTGCCTTTTTGTTTTTCACTTTCAAGTCAACATCAAATTTTGCTATGACAGCATGAGCAATAGATGATGATATTGTTCCAACTCTATATGATTTCCAAAGTAAACTTTTTGATTGAGATATCGTAGCTTCTTTTATAAGTTCTGCTTGAGATGGTGTTATTGAAAACGTCCTTAAAAATTTTTCACATTTAAATGTTATTGATTTATTCTTATAAGAACATTCTATCTGAGCTACATAATGGTCTATGGTAGGTGGTAGCACTTTGTTTTTAGTTGCATTTAAAGGTAATTTTTTCATAAAGTAATCTGACTGTATATTTGGCTTAAGGCAAATTACAGCACATTTTCCATCTGTTGCTTCTGCAACTGCTTCCCAATCTTCCTTTGTAAACTCTGACTGCTTTAAATAATAAGGACGAGGATCATATAAGAATCGACTGAGTTTTAGATTACTAATTTCTAAGTTTGATTTGACTTTTTTAATGGAAATATTTTGAAATATATCTGGCTCATGCAATTTTCTCTTCTGTGTTTTAGTCCCCAACTTTTGTTTTACTGATGTGCATGTTACATTATCTCCTAATCGCACATGCTCTTCGACAAACAACAACAAAGCAAATATATGTTTGCAGCTTTCTCCATAGCCGGCTACACAATTGCATTCTGCAGTGAATATACTTCCGTTTTTATTCAAACATACCCATGATTCATATTCTTCATCATTTATTCTTGTTTGAGGGACTACAGTTCCTTTTAAATAACAAAATTTTACAGCATCTGATAAGCTGTTTAAAGCAACTGAGGTTACATGACCTGAAGAATAAAGAGAATGTCCTTCTTTCAAGGCTTTAGAGCTGTGAGTGAGAAAAGAATAAGTTTCAATGTCCAAATAGTTTGTGGTTGGTAATAATTTTATTACTACTTCTTTTTCTAACACCCAATTTTCGATTTCAAAAGGATGGGGAAGCTGGACACCTGATTTTAATTTTAATTTTTGAAGAGATCTGGATTTAATTTCTTCAGTTTTTTCTTGTACAGTTTTATTTAATAGTAATTTAAGTTTATTGGCATAATAAACGTTTTTTAACAATTTTTTTTTGAAGGATTTTCACCAAGAGGAATACTCCTTGCTTGCAGGAATTCTTTCAGTTTAACAACATTCCAATTTTTAATTTCATCCATAAATGGTTTAATTTTTTCGTTATCAGAGGAAGAATCAGACATTATTACAGTATTGTAGAAAACAGAAATGTTAAATAATTGTTTTGGTTTGTTTGCGCCTCAGTTATCCCATAATGCTTTAAGCGTGAAATTTGAAAAATTAATAGCGAAAAGGCGAATTTAACATTTTTCTGTACTTAATTAAAACTTCAAATGCTACTTAATGTACTTATTTAAATCTTAAATTCTTACAACATGTTTAATCAACATTTTAAGAGAAATGCTTAAAACCAGGTTGCGTAATTAAAAAAAATTCAAAATATGTTTGCTTTTGTTTGTCTATTTGCTTCTCATCTTGCTTCCAAATGAATTACATTGCAAAAAATAAAATACATTATTTGAAACAATTATTGCTCAATTTATATTTTTCTCTACTCATTATTTATAAAGTTTTTTGAAGTAGTTAAAAATATTTATATATAAATATATAATTTTGATAAATAATTGTTAATTGATAAGTAATTGTTTTATGAGTTTGTATGTGCAATGTGCAATTTATGATTTAACTAGGTTGTTGCTGTTTCTTCCAAACGTGGGACTGCATCAATGCTGTGAAATTTATGCTAAGGACCATGTTGACTAATCAAGATTTAAGAAATTTAACTGGACAGGACAACCCCTAAACACCAAATTCGGGAATGCAAATGCCATGGAGTTTTAAGTATGTATTTATAATATTCTAAGAGTCTAAATAATTCTTGTATCCTAAGCGGAATCTCCATCGGATGAATCGGAATTCCAAATGAATATTTGATGTTTTTTTACACAAACATTTAAATATATAAGTTAGGTAAGACTAACTTTAAGGGGAAAGAATTTTTTTTTTAATTCTTATTTCCTTAAAGATTAACAGCAACTTAGATTTCGACTGAAAAAGGAAGTGGAGGACATGAATAAAAAACCTATGTTTAAATGGCCAGCAGTGGATAGCCAATGCTGCATTCCAGATGACATCGTTTGCAAGCTTGAAGTAATGCCTACAAAAACAGGATGTGGCTACTATTTAGATGACAAAGACGACTTTAACAAATTTATTTTCTGAAGGAAATAGAGATTTTTTTATTTAAACAATTCAACTTCATGAAAATTCGGATTTAGCAGGTTTTAAACTCTTTCGGTACCAAATTTCAGCATCATTACAAGCACCCTATAAGATAATAGTAAACAGAAAAGTTTTTGGCACTTCCCTCTCATTTTTCAATCATAATCAAACAAACTTCAAGTTGCTGTAAATTCTAAACAGATAAAAAAAAATAAAGTTTTTTTTATGGCATCTAAACGTTTGTACCAAGTTCCAGAAAAGTTGTTTTGTTTTTTAATTTATTTATTCGTAGGTTAATAAAATAACCATTATAATTATAGTCTTATATTTAAGTATAGTATTTAAATTTAATTTAAATAAGTTATAATTTTATAAAGTTTAATTGATTTATTTTGTTTGTAGTTAATAGACGCTATAGCAAGGAATATTTCTACACGCAGCTATACGAGTGAACTTTGTGAGTGTGATATTCAAAAATAAATCTTTCACTATAGTCATGGGTCAATTGATAAAGATGGTGGTCGTATGGTGAACGGATGGTGGTCGATGGTTGATTAAGATGGTGGTCGATGGTTGATAAAGATGGTGGTCGTAAAGAACGAAAAGAAAGGAAAAAACTAACAAACAACGCTGATTAGCAATAATACGGATAATGAATCACCTTCTTTAAACGAAGAATAATCTTTTAAAAATTTATTTTTTGGTTGAAAAAATTGTAAAATAAGTTTAAAAAATCTCTTGTTTTATGAAGTAATAATGTTGTTATTAATATTTGCGGGTCCCAATTTTGCATTAACACAATTTGTCCAACTAGTACTATTAATTGAAAGGCTATTTAGTTTGCAATTGAGATGAACACCCAATAAAAGTGAATGTATTACTAATGGAGGAACACTAGGCAGATTTCTAATTATTGCTAATAATTCCCAAACTCTGGTTGGAAAGTTTATATACTTCTTTACTTGTTCAAACGCCCATTAATTTCTGAACTAGAGCAGTGTTTCTTTTTCTTCCTCTTTTTTGATAAATAAAGTTCTATATATAGAGCCCTATATATAGCATGTAGGCAAAAATATACTGCCATTACGAAAACGATGGCTGACCGCTAACGGCACATACCGCTATAGGTCCACTAGAAAACCATTTACTGAACGTGCCACTAAAGGACCACTGACTGACCGCTAAGTTTTATGCCACTATTGGTCCGAGCAAAACTCAACTGCTCCATTAGCGGCACGCCGCTATTGGACCTGTAGCGTTGCCTACATCGGCCCTATATAGGTCCACTATATCATGTTTACTGGGATAATACAGAATATATCTGCAAACTTAATTATGTTGAGAAGCCACATGCCTCGTGAATTTGCCAGGCGACCACGATCAATTCTGGAATACAAACAATGGAAGCCAACTGAGTTGCGTCAATTTATGTTATATTCTGGAGCAGTTGTTCTTCGTGATGCTATTCCCATCAATATGTACCGTAACTTTTTAACATTTTCTGTTGCAATGATATGTTAACTGCGACCTGAATTTGCAAACAGTTTGCAGTACTGTGACTATGCAGAGAAATTGTTGCTCCTGTTTGTTAGCGATTTTGAAACTATATATGGTTCAAACCAGCTCATATATAATGTACACTCTGTCATTCATTTGCCACGTAGAAACTTTGGAGCACTAGATAAAGTATCATCATTTCCCTTTGAAAATTTTTTGGGTCAAATAAAAAAAATGGTGAGAAGGCCTCAGAATCCAATTGCTCAAATAATGAGACGCTATTATGAAAAAGACTGTATCTTATTGGAAACAGAAAATACTAGCACTATTCAGCAAAATATGCCTTCAAAAGAACACTACGCTGGTCCTGTACCACAAAACTTTTCTCAAGAAAGTTTTCAACAATATAAACATTTTAAAGCAGATCGTATTTTTATTTCATCAACAGTTGGCAACAATTGTTTTGAAATTCTAGAGAAGCTATCAATTGTAAGAAATATATTGCAAACATCAAAAAATGATACATTCGTTATTTACAACGAATTCATTCATTTGGAACCATTTTTTATTTATCCATTAGATTCTACTCATTTGGAAATATTTTTAGCTGCTCATTTATCCACAGATCTAAAGTTTGTACTGTCTGAAAAGATTGGAAAAAAGTTTGTTATTATGCCTTTGGGTGATAACTTTGTTCTTATGCCTTTATTGCATCAAGAATAAATTTAGTCAATATGACTAATAATTCTTATGGTAAATAATTTTTGTAGAGCAAAAAGTTTGTGTTTAATGGCTCTTTAACAAAGCTGAATGCATATGAAAAATGCATACGTTTTTTCATTCTTTCAAAGTTCTTTGTAAAATTTATTACATTTTAGAACGTCCTTAATTCAATTAAGTGGAGTAATATTATATAAATCCTCGAAATTTATAATAATCCTCAATAATTTATATAAATTAGTTAAAAAATATAATGTATTTTAATGTAATATCATTGCTAATATAGTATTAATTTTTCTAACTGTGGAATCAGATATAGGATTTAAACCATGTAAATTTTTACAACATATTTAATTAAATATTTATTGATTATGTTTATATTTATTATAATAAATCTAGTATTTAATATTTATATCCATTAAATATTACTATATTTCAAATATAGGAAATGACACTATTTAAATATAGTAACATTTCCTAACTTCCTAATTTTTATTTGCAGTAACATGTCTTTTAAGTTTGCTATCGTCGAGTTTATAAGTAATCATAGTGTAGCCACTATTCCAGTGTCATGGTTTGTTTCAGAAGAGGAAGAAGAGTGCTTCTTTCCTTCTAAAGTAAGCAGAAATACAATTAAAAAGCTTGTTAGTGATCAGTGTGAGTCATTGGTAACTTGGCCAAAGTTTTTTGTTAGAGTTCTGGGAAGAGAAGGTACAATATAACGTTTTTGTAGGCATAATTTGTATTCACACAATAATTTTTTTGATACAAATGATACAAAGCAATTTAAAAAAAAGTTGAGCATGAATTAATATCAATTTTTGGCTGTATATTTTAGCAACTTATGAAAGGGCTGAAGAAAAGGTAACAAAAGCCTTGAGTCAATCAGACATTGGCACAACTAACCAAGATGCTCCAGTGCGCAAACAAACCTTAAAGACGAATAAACATGGGTAAGTAAACCTATTTTTGTTTGATTTTTTTGTTGTTGTTTTTCCATTGAGTTGTTTCCTTATTATTACATTCAATTCATAATTAAATTTCGATTTAATAGATAATTTTCAAATAATGTAACTCATTTGTACATAAAATATGTAACTCATATATTTATCATTTTATTAAATTAATTTTCAGTTATAGTCAGGTTAGGTTATCCTTACGTAAAGTAAGTTTATCCTGCTATTAGTAACATGTAATTCAGTACAACCTGCTTCATTTTAACGCCATGAAGGTCATCCTGTTGTAAAACATTGCTTTAACTCTTTTATAATGGCATTTAAATGTCGTTATAAAGAACCATACAAACAACATGAGTGTATAAAAATAGATATAAAAGTTATCCAAACAAAAAACAAAATTAAATACTAAAACCGCTTTCCGTTGGATGGTCTATTTCTCAACTATATATAATGTTTTTACATTTTCATTACTTCAATGCGTTTCATTACTTCAAAGCGAATTTCTTCAGATTCTGATACTGAAAATGAAGAATCTTCTAGAAAAAAGTCAAAAATGCTGCAACCTCTCAGTCCACCTCCAAGAATAAATTCTAATGTTCAATATAATCCTTCAAGTTCTACATCTGTTCAAATCATTACAAATCACTCCTCGTCGTCCGCCTTGTACAACAAATTCTCCTGCTGTTTTTTCTGTTAGACACGTTTTACCAGCAACTTGCAGTACGCCTACTACTAGCTCAACCAGTCAGCATACACCATTGACTGCTCATGACACAACTCTTGTTTCTGTAGCTGAAGTTGTTCCTGATAATGGCCAAGATATCCAAGGTTAGTATAATATTAGATGTGTTGTAAAGCCTAATCTAATTAAGTTTCTTGGCTGTAGTCTTTACTAAATTATATATTTATTTTATTTCTGCATATTTTATAATGTATTCAATTAAATATATGTAACACAGCAGATATTTGCACCTTGCTTACTGACATGCCGAGCTCTTCGTCATTATCAGCAATTAGTTTTCGTTCAGGAGGTTAGTGTAATTTATATAATTTATAGTATACGATTACGTTCATGCCAAAATAAAATTAATAAATTATTGTTATTATACACATTTTTGCACACACAACTTTCATCAATGGGAAGCAAGATTTAATGTAAATAATTCCTGCTGCAGTAATTGCATAATTGTAATGTGTATGACACTGATTTTCTTTACAATTTTTGTTGACGATAACACCTTACAGTTTTATTATACAATTTTTAATTATATCAGAATTAGTAGCGTTAACAGTAGTAATCGATTTTTTTTAAATGCTCAGTTATTCTGTTTTGTAGGCTTAAATTTGAGACCTTATCTCGAAGCAATTCTAAAAACTTTACAGGAAATTAAAGTCACCCAAACTATTCATGGAAATATTTTAAATGCTTTGGTGCAACAACAAAATGTGGTAAGCCAAGCGTCACAACTTTCCCGTGGCAATGTTAAATTGTAATTTAACATTGTTAAATGATAATGTTCAGCAATCAATTGACGTAGCTAATCGAACGAGACCGCTTCTCATTGTCAATCAATTAAATGTAAGTAATGCTGTCCTTGCAGCATTGAACGAGCAACCAAGTGTAGAAAGTTAACATTCTAGATTGTTTTTTATGAATGGACCAGCCGGTAGTGGCAAAACTTTTACATATAATTTTTTGATTGCTGAAACGAGCAACGTTAAATCTGCTACAGCTGCATGGACTGGCATAACAGCAACTCTTCTTACAATTGGATCTACGCTGCACAGCTTATTTAAACTCCTGTCCCAATACTGGATATTAATTGGCATATTCTATGACAATTAATAAAATTATTAATTGGCATATTCTATGACAATTAATAAAAGTCAAGGTCAAACGTGCGAGTTACAAAAAGATTTTTAAGTAAATGGTAGCAAATTACCGTTAACTAAAAATTAATGAAATAAAGAGCCAAACAAATAATATAGAAATGACCCAGTGGGCACCCAACGTCGATCAAATGTTGGATTTACGGTAGATTGTGTTGGGCGACGTAGACCAACTATATCTAACGTTGTAATAACGTTAATTTCACCAACGTTAATTTTCATCAGAAATTTAACGTTATACTAACATTGGTTTTGTAACGTTTGTGTTATAACGTTATAATAACATTGTAATAACATCGGTAACGGTAACTTTATTTTTCGTCGGAATAGAACGTGGTTGCAACTTAGAAAAAAAAGTGCCTAAAAAATTATGTTTTAGATCTTTATTGGAAATCAATTTCTTATTGTATTGACTCCATTGAGCCTAGGCTCAAACAAGCTCAATTCAAAGTTTTTTTTTTTTTTAAACTTTTTTTTTTTTTAATTTAATAATATAAGTTATTTTACTTCCATAAAATTGAAATAAAATAAATTATTAGTAATAATATTACTTGAAATAGAATTTAATGCGAATATATATATATATATATATATATATATATATATATATATATATATATATATATATATATATATATATATATATATATATATTATTTATATATATTAAATATATATTTAATATATATTATATCATTTTTTTTTTGACTCCAAAAACAAACCTCAATTCGATTAAACTCAAACTAAATAAATTCTATTTTAATTAATAAAAATTTAATTAATTCATTTTATTTTAAATAAAATAAAATAGCTGATTAAAAATGTAGAAGAAAAAATTATATTTAGTGATATTAAATGCCATAGAGTTTATCATATATTACATTATTTTTGTTTTTATTTTATATGGTTTAAACCAATCAACCCTGGTTTTCATAATAAAGGATAACAACTACAATATAAGTCATAATTATAAACAATCATTATATATGATATATAAAAGTATAAAATATAATATATAAAAGTATAAAATATAGTAGAAAGTGCACAATATGAAATTTTAACATGTTTATTAAAAATTATGTTATTGAATTATCTTTTTATTTTTAAATTAAAATAGATTATTTTGTATAAATATAACATGGCTTTGTTGTACTAATATATGAATGACATTAATTTTAAATTTTATATGCTAATTTTTATAACTATAGAGTGTTCTCCTTGTGGGTAATATTGTCTAAATGTTTAATTTAAATAGCTGGCGCTTGCATAATCGCCAACAAAACAATTTAATAGAGGAAGCTTTAGACTAAAATGATGATAATGATTTCCTCCCTCGACAAGCTTTCTGCCATAGTGAAGCAATTTTAAATGGAAAAAAAAAAAAATTTAGTCAGTCACCATCATCAGAATGTTTGTTCAGTGAACCACCATCAGTTTCATACACGGAATTTATTTATGGAAACGATATTATCTTTGAGTATCGTAATGTTTTACAGGAACAGCTTGCATCATGGGCTACTAAAAATAAATGCATACGTGCTTTAATTAATGAGTTATTATCTATATTGAAAAAGCATGGGCATGACGACCTGCCCATAGATAGCAGAGCGCTGTTGAAATCTCCAAGGTATGTGGAATCACTTTCCTTAAGTGGAGATTCCTTTTGTAGATTATGGTTTTCCATGTGTTTCCGGGTTTGTACTCGACAGTATGCATTTAGTTATGTTAGGTGTAGTAAGGCGTATACTCCTTTTTCTGAAAGAAGGACCTAGAATTTGTAAATTATCACAATTACAACTAAACGAGATATCAAAAAACTTGGAGTATTTAAATGGTAAATTGCCTAGTGAATTTGCAAGACAGCCTCGCTCTTTAAATGAATTGAAGCATTAGAAAGCTACAGAATTTAAACAATTTATACTTTACACCGGACCTGTAGTATTAAAAGGAGTTATGTCTAATGAAGTTTATACTCATTTTTTGGCATTTAGTGTTGCAATAAGAATTATGTGTTTTACTAATTCTAATAAAAGAGTTGAGTTACTGCAATATGCAAAGAATTTGTTAGAATGGTTTGTTTTTAAGTCAAAAGATGTTTATGGTGAATCCTTTATTACTTACAATGTTCATTCACTAATTCACCTTCATCAGGATGTTGAAAATTATGGCGAGGATTTGCTTTCACTGTTTGCTTTGCCTTTCGAAAACTATATAAAAGTTTTGAAAAAATTTATACACAGTGCCAATAATCCTCTAGTTCAAATCATAAAACGAAGTTCCGAACTAGAAAAGTCTGGTGAAAGGATCACCCACCAATATATAAAATGATAAAATTGCTATTGCTGACAGAGATAGTTGGTTTTGTTTAACTAGTGGAGAAATGGTTCAGATCACTAAAAAATTGACAAATAATAATTTCCAATGTAAAACTGTTAATTCAAAAGATATGAAACATTTTTTTATTGAGCCATGTAACTCTATAAATATTGACATATTTATTGCAAACAAAAATATTTCAATGGAAAGTAGAAATATTTGTAAACAAGATATTCGCAATAAAATGGTTTGTTTACCACGCAAAAAGACATTTGCTTTTTTTCCTTTTCTTCATAGCTTTAGAGATAACATTCTGGCACCTGAAAAGCATTAATAACTTTATTTGTATCAGTATTTCTTTTTGTTAAACTATTGAAATATAAATTATGTTCAATCTTCTTTGCTTAAATTTTAGTTTAACGTAGTTAATGCATCAAAATCACGAATAAAGAAAAATAATATTATAAAATATTTGCGTTTAGTTTTTGTATGATGTTTGTAAAAAAACTTCGTTTTTCTAAAAGTATATAGTTGAAATGGTTGTTTATTTTGTAGTGAAAACATTAGATTTATAAATAATTATATTTTGAAAAATAAAAAAGTTACAATGGCTACTAGCGGTCCGTATGCACAAGCAGTTTGGTTGGAAGGCAGTCAGGAGATGGAACGAACTATACCAATAAATTGGATAGATGTGGATACCAATAAAGTATTTTGGCCCAACACTTTAAATGTGAAGAATGCATTTAAAAGGTGTCAACAACCTAAAACAGATTGGCTGAAATTTGAATTTGTAAAGATTAAAGTCTGTGGTTAGCAATTATTTTTATTTTTAGTTTGAGTTTTACAATTATTTAAAGTTCAGAAAATCAAAACAAAATTTGCTATTGCAAAAATCAATATCTTTAATAGCCTCCAAACATTTAAAAATTGTAAAGTTAAAATATTCTATATGCTTGTTTTTAAGGTTCAGAACAGTTTTGTGATGATTGTAGTGACTACACATCTTCTGAGGAACAAATATGCAAAAGAAAGTCTTATAAGAAAAGCAGTAAGTTTATACTCCTAAGACTTGCTAAATGTTCTGATACTATATATATATATATATATATATATATATATATATATATATATATATATATATATATATATATATATATATATATATACATATGCATATATATATATATATATATATATATATATATATATATATATATATATATATATATATATATATGTATACATATATCTATATATATATATATATATATATATATATATATATATATATATATATATATATATATATATATATATATATATATATATATATTTAAATATATATATTTTGTATATATACATATATATATTTTGTATATATACATATATATACAAAAATTATATATATAATATATAACGCT